GATCAACCATAATTCCCACACTATGCACCTCCAGATAGAGAACTGATGGACTCAAGAGTGCAGATTGAATCTTATGTTTTCTCTTTTTCTCTCTGAACTTGGCTAATGCAGGAATTTGTTTTGAATCACTATACATATGTGCAACAGGTTTTGTTTTTCTTGCCTTCTCAGTGGCTGGGGGTGGAGAGGGCAGAGGGAGAAAATTAGAAACTGAAAATAAAATTTAATTTTTTTTTGTTTGTTTCTCAAGGCAATCAGGGTTAAGTGACTTGCCCAGGGTCACACAGCTAGTGAGTATCATGTGTCTGAGGCCACATTTGAACTCATGACCTCCTGACTCCAAAGCTGAAGCTCTATCTACTGCGCCACCTAGCTGCCCCATAAAATTTAATTTTTAAAAAATTAAGTGTTCCCCGTCTCTCCTGAACATTGCAAATATGATGTGAGCATGAAGAAGGCAAAGGGAGTACTCCACACGGCTGAAGAAAGCTTTCTGGAAGACATCCAATCTCAGAAATATTTCAAAGTCCTAATATCCTGCCACCTGAGAGCCATCAATGCTAACTTTGGACTTATTGGCCAGAGTAGCTCCAGAATACAAAGAATCACGCTCAAGTCACTTCCACCCTCTCCAAAGACAAAGTTCTACTACCAAGCTCCGTAGCATGGGTTACTGAAGCTAAGAGTCAATGTCTAGTCTCACTTTTGCACCTATCAGCTTCATAACCAGACAGCTGCTTAACCTCTGTTTCCCCATATTCAGAAAATGCTGTACCTACAAGAATCTTCCGAGGACAAATGTAATACTCATCAATAAATCTAAGTGCCTCATATATGCCAGGCACTAGGGAGACAAAAACAAAGAATTGAACAATTTCTACTTGCAAGCAGTTTGCATTCTTTTTTTTTCTAATTTTTTTAAATTAAATAAGCATTTATTTTCTCTCCTCCTACAAAAGAGAACACAAAAACAAAACCCTTGTAACAAAAATGTAGAGTCAAGCAAAACAAATTCTAACACTGGTCATGTCCAAAAATGTATTTCTCATTATGCTTACTGAATCCTCTTAGGAGGTGAGTAACATTCTTCATCATCAGTACTATGGAACTTGGGCTAGTCATTTCATTGATCAGAGTTCTTAAGACTTTCAAAGCAGACTGGGCTAACTGACAGTGGAGGATGTTGCAGAGAAAAAGGCAAATTCATGCCCTGCTGTAGAACTGTACCCTGATCCAGTCCTTCTGGAAAGTAATTTTGAACTATACCTCACAAGTTACTACATTATGCGTAGGAACCCTAAAACCCAATAGATTACCTTTAGTAGGCCTATTCTCCAAAGAGATCAAAGAGGACTCATATGCACAAAAATATTTACAGCATCTCTTTTTGTGGTGGCAAAAAAGGAAATTAAGGGAGCAAACATCAATTGGGAAATGTCTGAACAAATTGTGATATATGAATGTAATAGAATATTATGTGTTATAAGTCAATTAAAGCGCAATTTTCAGAGATGCCTGCGAAGACTTGTAGGCACATCATAATGGAAGAAATACATATGTATGTATACAGACTATAAAATGTAAAATACATATAACATAAAGTAGATATTCAATAACTAAATTCAACATGTTTTGTGAGGGAAGGCACCAGAAATTGGGGAGAGAGGAACCAAGAAAAGCTTCATGAAGAGATGATGTTTGAGCCTCATCTTAAAGGACAAGAAACCCCATAAGAATTGAAGTGAAAAGAGAGTGCATTCCAGGCATAACAATGTAAAGGCATGGAAGTACAAGATGGAATGTCCTGTGTAGAAGGCCAGTTTGATTTCACAGAATAATGTCCAATGAAGCTGAAAAAAGACAGGTTGAAACTAGTTGTTTAGATTTCATCCTAGAGGCAACTGCAAGCTATATAAGGCTGACTTAGTATAAGCATTACATGGTCAGATCTGTGCTTAAGGAACATTATTATGGGAGTAGTATCATAGGATAGATGGTGAAAGACAATGTACTAAGACCAATTAGGAAGTTGTCCCAATAACCTAGCCAAGAGGTAATGAAGTCCTAAGCCAAAGTGGTTAATGTGTTAGTGAGAAGAAAGAGTCAGATGTAAAAAAATATAAGGTAGAAATAACAACTAATTTATGGGATAAGGAAGGGTGAGAGTCCAGAATAATGCCAATATTATGAACCTAAGAGACTGAAAGGATAGTGGTGGCTCAGAATGAAGTCTAGAAGAGGGAGAAGGATGAAGGGAAAGATAATAAGTTTAGTTTTAGACATGGAATTTAAGATGTCTCCAGGCCATCCAATTTGAAATTTCTGAAAGGCAACTGATGATATGAGACTGAAGCTCAGAGGAGACCCTTGGGTTGGATATATAAAAATGAGAGTCATTTGCATAAAAATGATAGTTAAAACCTTGAGAGCTAAGATTAGGTTACCAACAGAAGCTATAGAAGTAGATAAGAGGCTCTAGGACAGAACCTTGAGGAACACCCAATTATAAGATGTAAGACAAGCAGAGCAGCTAGACGAGGGGGGAACCAAGAGAGTAGTGTCACAAAAAGCTAAAGACGACAGAATATCCAGGAGAAAGGGGTAATAAGCAGCATCAAATACAACAGACAGGTTAAGAAGAATTAGGACTGAGAAAAAAATATCAAAAATTGGACAATTAAGAAGTCACTGGTAACTTTGGATACGGCTATTTAACTTGAATGAGGAGGTTGTAAGCCTGATTACTAAGAGTAAAGGAAAAAGAGAGAAGAAACAAAGTGGAGATACCAAGTGTTTTAGAAAGCTTGTGTGAGGAGTTTGAAGTTCAAATTTCTACCCATGTCAAAACTTGGTGGAGAAACACAGCTGTGCAACATAAGAACAAACTTGCTAGCACATCGTGCTATATGCACCCTCCACCTCTCCCCAAAATGTAGGAAGATGAGTTAAAAGGGCAGCCAACCTTTGAAGCCCAATCAGGAGTTCTATGGCTGGCATCCCTAAATGCTCCTTTGGGCTTCCTATGATCAGTGGAAGCCACAGGAAGCATGAAGTCAGGGAACTGGAACTGGAGAAGTGTGAGTACTTGTCCCACCCCAACTCTCAGGAGACCTCAGGATCTGCTTATGTCCTGCCCTTCATAGCCCACCTACTACTAAAGTCACTAAACAAGGCACCAGTGTCTATTTGCATCATAGTACTTACATTTACGAGCACTGTCAACAATTCTGACCCAACACCTGAGCTTTCAAAGGCAAATCAAAGGGGAAGCAACTCATAAGAATTATTGACAAAGGAAGACTACAGAAGACATGCAGGGAAAAAGCCTATGAGCTTTACAGGAGGGTGAAGAACGAGACAGCATATATATATTAGCAGAATCATTCTCCAAAAGTACATCATCAAAGAGGTGGGATCCCAAACTGGCTGGAGGAAGAAAGTACAAATTTGAGACCAGTAAAAATATATTGTGACATTTTAAACACCATCTTTAAAGATGACCCTAACTCACTGCTGTTGGAAATGACTGGAAATCTAAGTCAGAGAACTCCTCAAATTTGAGAAGGTATGCTCTTTCAGGGGTATCACATCATCACCCCCATTCCTCCTCAGCAAACTACCAAACTTAAGCCACCAAGCACTACCCATGTCATCTACAAAACTCAACAAGATGTGTCGCTGGACTTTCATGTAGGAAGTAGCTCATTTTATACTTGGAAATCACTTTAAGGAGAATCTCCATGATTCCAAGGCAGTCTAAATATCAGCTAAAGCTTCAGAGGCAGTTGAAATATTCCCAATTGGGCAATAAGCAATCCTAAAGTTCCCCATTAACCCAATGGACAATCCTATCCTGTACCCTTATCTACCACAAACAAGACAAAATGGATAAGAACTCCCTCTGCTCCTCAGTACACCTTCCCAGACAGACCTTACCATCCTTCCCAGCTTCACACCTAGAAAATGATTCTAAGAGAACCTGTTCCTGGAAAAAAGAAGATCTTCCCCCCCCCAAAAAAATTCCCAACATCAACTGACCCCACCACTAAAACTAAAGAATCCATTCCCTACCAAAAGGTTCCCCAAAGGCCAAGACCCAAGAAAGTACTGTAGTAGTGCTGTCCCCATTGCAGATCCCATTCTCTCTGCTACCTAGGTCTCCCTACATCTCCCTTCCATCACTCAATGAAAATGAGATCACTACAAAGCAGCCTATACACACAATTATTTAAAAAAAAAAAAACACCCCCGAAGCACCCTCACCACCCCCCTCCCCGCCCATGCCATGCCTTGCCACTTTCTTACCTTTCATATGCCAACAACTCTAGCCCTAGCCGTAGCTCCGAACTTTGGCAGGTATCAAATATCCCCCCCGCCCCGGCTTCCCCGCCCCCCCCATAATATTCATAAAGCTGTGGGGCAGACCAGCTCATTCCGAAGATAAGATACAGATGCCCAGGCGACATCCACAGCTTCACTCCGACCACCCAGAGTCACTCCCTGACTCTCCCTCCCCCAGCCCCAACATTCTCAACAGCCAGGCCGAATGTTCGCCCCCCCGGGGGGTGGGGAGACTGAGGGGCCCGGGAAGGACCGAGGCCTTCAGGATGGAGCCAGGGAGGTGGCTAAGATGGGAGCGGGATGGCCTGGGATGGGGGTACGGGCTTCAGACCCAGCACAGGAGGCGGGATGGGGCAGCGATGGCTGGGGCCCAGGGCGGAGGGGAGGAGGAGCTGGGCGCTGGCCGTAGAGGCCCGGCGGGGCCACCCGGGAGAGGAGGCGAATGGAATCCAGGCCGGGCGAGCGGCCGGGGTAGGGAGGGCGGGGGAGGGAAGGCAGCAAACCTGGGGCTGGGACGAGTGGAGCGCGGGGGAGGCCCAGGGCAGGTCGGGGCCGGCCTGGCTGGAGAACGCGCTGGGTCGGGGGCTGATTCGGGCTCTGCCCGAAGCTGGGGCGGGAGGCCGCGGGGCGGCCGGGGCAACAAGGACGGGGGGGCTCACCTCCGACCCTGTACATGTTGGCGGCCATGTCGGGCTCCGGCTCGGGCTCCGGCTGCGCAGCGCGGCACGGGGGGCTCAGAGGCCTGGCCTGGCCTGGCCTGGCCCGGGCCCGACGCTCGGGGTTCGCAGGGTGGCGCGGCGGCTCCTCCAGGTGGGGGAAATGTGCTGGAAAATGGAGGATCGATCGGCTGGGGTGGGGGCGGGGGCGGACGCTTTAAAGGGGCCGCGCTTGGTCCACCCGGCGCCGCCGCTGCCGCCGCCGCCGCCGCCGCCCGAGGCCAAGGGGAGGGGGAGGCCCTAGAGACCCATGGGAGTGGGCTGGCCGGCTCCCAGCAGCACCTCAAGCTTCTGCTTGTCCACTACCCACAAACTGTCCCCTTCCTCCCTCCTCAATCTTCTTCCTGCCCCTCCCTCCTCGCCTCCCCTACCCTCTTCCCGGCCTCCCTGGCCTCTCCTCTCCCTACCGCTTCTCTCCCCTCCCTTCCCCTACCCTCTGTCCGCTCCGCTCTCTCGCTCTCTGTCACTGTCTCTGTCTCTGTGTCTGTGTGTCTGTCTGTCTTCCCCCCACACCCACCCCCGCCTTCTCTTTTCTCTCCCTCCTTTTCCCCCTAAACAGGCAGACACAAAGAAAGCAACCACAACTCCACCTACCTTGCCAAAGGCTGGGGCCTCCAGTGTGCCCCCGCCTGTGCCAAGTCTGTGGTTGGGGTCTCTCCTGCAGGCAGGAGAGCTCTGCTCTCCAGGCTGAAAGGAAAGGACAGACCGAGCCAGGCCAAGTGTGCATGGCCTCTCAAAATTCATTCATTCATTGGGCAAAGTTCTTTATGCTGGGTGCTCGGCCCTGTGCTGGGGCCCTGAGGCAGACAAAGATGAAAAAAAACAAAGGGGCCCTGACCTCACAGAGCTCAGCTTAATGAAGCATGAATAAGATCAAATATAATACTGTACCAAGAGAGAATCTAATTAAGACTTTAAGAGAGGAACACAATTCTCAAAGCAAGATTCATTGTCATATTAGCAACTGATATCTTAAAGAAAGAAAAGAAAATATAGAATCCCTTTAGCCAGTCTAATTAATTTCAAAGAGTAAGGAGGTTTAGGTTTCACCTTAAACTTAGGTTAGTGACCACCCACTCTCCCATTCCTCTAAGGATGATTTAGGAGGGAACATTTGAGAAGGAAAATATCCATGGAATTCATAACTTATGAATCATATGATCTTAGAGGTGGAAAGGACCTCATAAGATGTATGATTCTATCTGGGGCAGAAATAGAAATCCCCTCTGAAATGCCCCTGATAGGTGATGATCCAGTCTCTCAAAGACCTCTAGTTAGCCAATAGGAATTTATTAAGCTCCAGTGTCAAGCACTGCAGTAAGCACTGAAAATACAAAGAAAGGCAAAAAGTCACAGACCTCCAGAAGCTCGAAAGCTAATGTGGGAGACAAGCAAACAAAAGTATACAAACAAGCTATGTACAGGTAGGAAATACGTAACAAGGGGAAGGCACTAGAGTTGAGAGGAATTGGGAAAGACTTCCTGTAGAAGATAGGATTTTAGATGGGACTTGAAGGAAGCTAGGAAAGTCATGAGGTAGAGATGAGGAGGTAGAGAATTTCCAGGCATGGAGAACAGCCAAAGAAAACGCCTGGAGCTGAGTATCTTGTTTGGAGTGTCTCATTCATGAAAAGCAAAGAAGCAAACATCACTAGATTGAAGAGTAAGTGGAGAAGTATAAAGTATAAGAAGACTGGGAAGGTGAGAAAGAGGAGGATAGGTTGTGAAGGACTTTGAACACCAAACAACTTCATATTTGATCCAGGAAGTAATAGGGAAGCACTGGAGTTTTTTGAATGGGGGATGGTGGGGAAGGGTAACATGGTTGGACCTGTACTTTAGGAAAATCATTTTTACAGCTGAGTGTAGAAAGAACCTAAATGGGAATGCCTTTTGGCAGGCAGACCCACCAGCAGTTTATTGGAGGAGTCCAAAAGTGAGGTCATGAAGACCTGTACCAGGGTAGTGGCAATATCAGAGAAGAGAAGGGGACATATATAAGAGATGTTCCAAAGGTAAAATGGACAGGTCTTGGAAACAGATTGGATATAGATTGTGAGAGACAGTAAGGAGTTGAGGATAGCTCCTAGATTGCTGCAAGCCTAAGGCACTGGGAAGATGGTGGTAATAGGGAAGTGTTAGGGAACAATAATAAAGAAGAGTTGTTAGGATAAGAAAAGAGTTTAGTGGAAAAGCTATAAGTTCTGTTTTGGACATGTTGCATATAAGATGTCTATTGACATTCAGTTTGAGATGTTTGAAAGGCATTTGAAGATTCAAAACTAAAGGTCAAAGTTGGATACCTATCTGATGAGAAAAATCATGTGAGACCACCAAGTGAAGTAGTATAAAAAGAGAAGAGAAGAGGGCCCAGGACAAAACCCTGTGGGACACCTACAGTTACAGGGAATGACTTGGATGAGAGATCCAGCAAAGCGGGCTTAGACAAGTTGCAGTCAGATAGGTAGGAGGAGAAAAATCAGGAGAGAATTGTGTCCCAAAAACCTAGAGAGAAAAGAAATCAAGGAAAAGAGGGTGGTTGATAGTGTCAAAGGCTTCAGAGAGGTAAAGAAGAATGCTTATTGAGAAAAGACCGTTAGATTTACCAATGAGGAGATCACTGGTGAATATGAGATTGGAAACCAGATTGTAGGGGGTTAAGAGGAGGGTGAGAGGAAAGGAAGTGAAGGCACCCATTGTAAATTACTTTCTCAATGAGTTTAAACACAAAAGGCAGGAATATATAGAATGATATCTAGCAGGAATAGAAGGATCAAGTGAGGATTTTTTGAAGATGATGGAGACGTGAGCATGTTTGTAAGCAGTATGGAAGGAACTAGTCGAGAGGGAGACATTGAAGATAAATGAAAGTGTAGGGATGAGAGAACTGGCAGTCTGTTGGAGGAGACAGGATGAAATGGGATTGCTTTTGCAGATAGAGGGACACCTCTTTTTTTAAAGACAGATGAAGGAGTATATACTGGCAGAAGGCATGTGATAGGAGATGAGAAAAAGGAGAGAAGTTCATGTTGAATGGCTTCAATTTTTTCTATAAAATATGTATCTAATGCAGATAGGTCAAGAGGGATATGGATTGAAAAAAGAACATTATTACATTCACTGGTAACCTTGGAAAGAGCAGTTTCAGTGGAGTGATTATGTCAGAAGCCAGATTATAAAGGGTTGAAAAATTAGTTGATGGTGAGAGAGTGGAGGAAAAGAATGTAGACAGCTGAAGATGGCAGAGTAAAAGCAGTGACTTGCTTGAGTTCTCCCCCAAACCCCTCCAAATACCTGTAAAAATGGCTGTAAACAAATTCTAGAGCAGAAGAACCCACAAAAAGACAGAGTGAAACAAGTTTCCAGCCCAAGAAACCCTAGATAGTTGATGGTAAAGGTCTGTTGTACTGTGCTGGGAGAAGAGCATAGTCCAGCATGGGTGCACAGGCAATGACAATGCCTCAGTGAACCTGGAGCCAGTCTCAGGTGACTGAATCAAGGGGACCTGTGGCAGTTTCCAGACTTCTCAACTCACAAATGCCAAAGACAACTTAGAAGGTCAGTGGAAAGGTCTGTTGTTCCTGGGTGAGAGAGGAGCATGGCCTCAGTCCTGGCACAGCCCCTGGGCAGCAGCTGCTTCCAGAGGTCTCAGCCCACAGACCGTGGGGGGATCAAGCTGCTGATCAGAGGGGGATTGCAGGGATCTCTTTGCTGGTGCTGAGGCAGGATTCTCTTGCTTTGCCTGTGCTTGGATATGGGTCACAGTCCTGGGGCAAGGAGGAGCACTGGCATGGTGGAACTTGCAGTGGCCATGGAGAGGAAATCCTCCTCACAGTTCCAAGGCAGAAAAGAGTGCTTGTAGTCACTCACAGACCAGAGCACAGACCAGAGCACAGACCAGAAAAGGAGTAAACACCTCTCCTTAGATCATACCACCTTGAAAGAACTGAAAATTTACAGGTCCATAGAAGTAGCTCTGAAAACAGTTGCACAAAACCCCTGAAGCTTGGGACAGTACACCCTCCACACTGGAAGCAGACCCCTACCTTAATAAAGAGTTTAAAAGTCAAGTAATTGGCTGGGAATATGAGCAAACAGAGTCAAAAAACTCAGACTATAGAATCTTACTTTGGTGACAAAGATCAAAACTTACAACCAAAAGAAGACAACAAAGTCAAAGCTCCTACATACAAAATCTCCAAAAAAATATGAGTTGCTCTCAGGCCATGGAAGAGCTCAAAAAGGATTTTGAGAAGCAAGTAAGAGAAGTAGAGGAAAAACTGGGAAGAGTAATGAGAGTGATGCAAGAAAATCATGAAAAACAAGTCAACAGCTTGCTAAAGGAGACCCAAAAAAATACTGAAGAAAATACACACCTTAAAAAATAGACTAAGCCAAATGGCAAAAGAGGTCCAAAAAGCCAATGAGGAGAAGAATGCCTTAAAAAGCAGAATTGGCCAAATGGAAAAGGAAGTCCAAAAGCTCACTGAAGAAAACAAGTCCTTAAGCATTAGAATGGAGCACGTGGAAGCTAATGACTTTATGAGAAATCAAGAAATTGTAAAACAAAACCAAAAGAATGAAAAAATAGAAGACAATGTGAAATATCTCATTGGAAAAATAACTGACCTGGAAAATAGATCCAGGAGAGATCATTTAAAAATTATTGGACTATCTGAAAGCCATGATCAAAAAAAGAGCCTAGACATCATCTTTCAAGAAATTATCAAGGAAAAGTGCCCCGAGATTCTAGAACCAGAGGGTAAGATAGAAATGGAAAGAATCCATCCATCACCTCCTGAAAGAAATCCCCAAAGGAAAACTCCTAGGAATATTGTAGCCAAATTCCAGAGTTCCCAGGTCAAGGAGAAAATATTGCAAGCAGCCAGAAAGAAACAATTCAAGTATTGTGGAAACATAGTCAAGGTAACACAAGATTTAGCAGCTTCTACATTAAGGGACCAGAGGGCTTGGAATATGATATTCCTGAGGGCAAAGGAGATAGGAT